TGTTTTAAGACCTCCTCACTTTCAGCAAACAGAATTGTGTCATCTGTATTACTCATATTGATGAGTTTCCCTTCAATCCTGATGCCACACTCTTTCTCATAGCATCCAGCTACTCGGATAATTTGCTTAGCATACAAATTGCATAGGTATGGAAAGAGAATACAACACTGATGCACTCTCTTCCCAATTCCAAACCATTTATTGCTCCTCTGCTCTGTTTGCACAACAGCCTCCTGGTCTAGGTATAGATTCTGCATGAGCACAATCAAGTGTTCTGGGATTCCCATTCTTCTCATTGTCAGCCTCAACTTGTCATGATCCACAGTCACATGCCTTTACATAGTCAATAAAGTACAAATAAACATTCTTCTGGTATTCCTTACTTTCAGCCAGGATCCATCTGACAGCAGTGGTTTTGCTGGGCCACAGCCTCTTCTAAATCCTGCTTGAACTCCTGGCAGTTCTCTATGTACTGTTTCAGCCATTTTTGAATGATCCTCAGCAGTGTTTTGCTTGCATCTGATATCAATTATATTGTTCAGCAATTTCCATATTCAGTTGGATCACCTTTCTTGTGAATGGGAACAAATATAGACCTCTTCCAATCTGTTGATCACATAGCCATCCTCCAAATTTCTTGGTGTAGACTGGTGAGTGCATCTAAGTTAGTTGAGACAAGTCAACTGGTATCCCGTCGAAGACCAGATGAGTTGTGGGATGATATCAAGGATATTATCCATGGAGAAAGCAAAAGGTCATCACAAAAACAGAGAAGAAATAAAAAATAGAAATGGATATTAGAAGAGACTCCAAAGATTCCGCTGGAGTGTTGAAAAGCCACAACTAAAGGAAAACATGTTGAAGTGAAAGAGCTGAACAGACCATTTCTAATGGCAGCTTGGGAGGACAAATTATTATGATAGAAAGTGCAGAGAGCTGGAATTGGAGAATTAAAAATGGAAGAACTTGCTCTGCATTTCTCAAGGTGAAAGAACTGAAAAATTTAAACCTCATGTCACAATATTGAAATATATTCAGAGATTGTTATGGGCAATATCTTGAATGACCTAGAAAGCATCAAAAGAAGATAGAGGGAATACAGTTATTGTACCAGAAAGAATTAATTGACAACGAAAAATTTCAGGAAGTATCATTTGAACAGGAGCCAATGGTAAGGAAGGAGGAAGTGGAAGCTGCATTGAAGGTATTGACAAAAAAATAAGGCCCCAGGCATTGATGGAATACCAATTGATGTGGGAAGGTTGAGGGATGACAAAAGAGAGGAATGACACAGTTAATGTGGCAATGGGCTCAAGTGTGTTGGAGATTGTGAAGATGGCACAGGATTCACATTTGTTATTCGTATGGTTGCTATGAGTTATACTCGAGTTAATGGCTCTTAACAATGACAAAGCACTTGATTGAAAGAGCTGTTTGCTTGGATAATGAATGAATGCTAGGGAAAAAATGTCTTACCATCAATTCAGAAAGTTAATTTGCAGAGACCTCTATGCCTAATATTTTGAGATTCAGCCTCATCTCCCTAGTTCTGGTTATCAGGTGCCATACAGTAGAGTACTACTCATAGCAACCCATTTAAAATTGAAGAACCCAGGCCCTGGAACAAAGATGGGAAAGACCTTTGATGAGGTAAATCTTATCTCTAACCCACAATACTCTTGTGAGAGATAAAAGGAGAAAGTAGAAAGTTATGGAGAATTCAATAAAACTAAGACTTGAAATCTGGGTCCTATACTGAGATTCATAGGCTTGAGACAAAGAGTGGCTGATGTACATCACCAAAGAATGACTGGCCCATTCATACTGAAAGGGACTTTTCCCTGAGTTGACAGTGGGGGAACACCTTCTTGTGAAGCTGGTGGCCTGAATTCAGATTTCTAGGTGTCTAAACTGAGAATAAATTTCTATTTTTTAAAGCCTCCCAATTGTCTGTCTTGGCTCTATGATAAGCATAAAAATCATGCCTACATTCCCTCTTGTTCTTTACAGTCCCTCTTTCTTGCCCTTCTCTGCCCTTACCTGTCCCATTCTGGACACATGCTGGTCTGATTTCTGTCACTATAGATTAGTTTGCATTTTCTAGGATTTTGTATAAAATGGAATCATACCTTATATTCTCTTTGTTCTGCATGTGATGTGTTCTGTTGCTGCTTCAAATATTTTAATCACTTTCTCATTAGTTTTAAGAGACTGATTACAGTAGACCTAGAATTAATTTTATTTTTGTATCTTGTATCTGGTTTTAATTCAGCTGAGATTATAGTTCTCATGAGATTTGGAAAATTCTTTGGTCTTCTTTTGTTAACACTCTGTATTTTCCCTGGCTTCCTCCTGATTTATATAATTACTGTGAGATTTATTGGACTCAAAAGCGATAAACAACAACAACAACTTGGTGAGTACTTTGGATTAAAATACAGTGCTTTACAAAGCACATTATGCAGCATGAAGGATCTGTAAAACTGCTTATTCCACCCCCACCCATTCTTGATTTTAATTTAGGTAAAGATCAGAGAAACCTAACAACTTACTGAAGGACATAGAACCATAGGGTAGTAGAGCTCCCTCCTTTGATTGTCTAATTTTGCACAGCTCAAAATTCAAACTCGTTGTTGTTGAGTCATAACTGACCTTAGCAGGTTAAATTCCATAGGAGGAAATGATCCATCTTTCTCGTATGGAGACTCTGGTGGGTTTTCACCACCAGAGAGGTGCCAGCTCTGACTTGGCAGCACAGTTCTCTACAGAGTAGGGGACCAGAGTTCCCTCTACTTCCCTAAGTTCAAGTTGCTCTGAAGGAATTAGCAAAAAGCAAGACCCCAGGAATTGAAGGCATACCTATTGACACATTTCAATGAACAGTTGCTTCCCAGGATGCACTTACCAAGTTGTGCCAAGAAATCTGGAAGACAGTCACCTGGCCAACTGACTGTAAAAGATCTATATTTGTTCCCATTCAAAAAAATGTCTATCTTTAATATCACATGTAAGTAAGATCTTGCTATAAATTATAAAAAAACAACTGGAGCAGCACATCAACAGAGAGCTGCCAGATGTGCAGGCTGGGTTTAGAATAGGCGGTGGCACTAGGGTTATCAGAGCCAATGTTAGGTGGATTTTGGCATAAAGCAGAGAGTACAAGAGAAATGTCTGTGTTTCATTGGCTATGCAAAGTAGATTACTATACTATGTAGATTACAACAAACTGTGGCTAACTCTGAGAAGAATGGGAATCCCAGAACACTTGATTGTACTTACGCAAAATATATACTTGGACCATGAGGCAGTCATGAGAGCAAGGAAACTGCATGATTCAAAATTAGGAAAGATGTGGAATCGGGACACACCCCTGCATCTCAGATCCGCGAACCCCATCTTCAGGTACTACATTGCTCCCCCCCCCGACCCGGCTCGCACCCCCCCCTTGCCAGCTCTGAACTTTGGGACTGGCCAAGGGCTGTGCGCAGGCGCAGTGAAC